AGCTCCTAGGTACTAGGTACAAAGTACTAGATTCTGGGTTCTAGGTACTAGATACTAGTTACTAGGTACTAGATACAAAGTACTAGGTTTTATATACTAGATACTAGGTACTAGATTCTTGATACTAAAAACTAGGTAACTGGTATCAGCACTTAAAATTAGAATTTTTTAAATAATAATTGACTTTGGGTTTCGTCCAAGATCCATGGGTGCCATCCTAGTAGTACCCTACTTTATTCAGTAGGTTTGTTCAAACCCTACGAAAGCTATACTTCTTGAATATCATCTACCCTATTCCCACCTGGAAGTTCAGGCTCAAAAGCAGTTATCAATACTTTTATGTATATTTCTGTCTCTCTTTTTCGGAAAGGTCTCTTTATTACTGAATAATAATATTGGAGGACACATTGATAACATATGCCCTTTATATATGAATGCTTTCTCTTATACAGTTAAATGTTATTTCCCTTTCACTTCCCTTTCTTTATTCTTCCAATTTTTACGTCCTAATGAATAGAACATGTCAAATAATCTATTAAAATAATTGTAATGATGTCATTATAGGAAAAGTACACAATGAAAGAATATATGCATATAGCTAGTTGAATGTGTAGAAACGTCAAAAATACAAGCCACTAATTAGTAAATTATTCCTTCGAGACAGTCTCTTACGAGATCGTGTATTAATAAAAATTTATTTAGTCCGAAAGTTGTCGTCAAATGTTTTATTTGGGTGACTATGGTGAATCTCATGTTCAATTTTTCAGTGACGTAAAAGCGTCGAGAGAGTCATGAGAAACTAAAACGATCATAAACAAAGCTATTTTTAAATTATTTATAATAAAAAAATGATGATGGTCAGTTATTCTGGACGCACGAGGAAAAAATAATGTATCTTAGTTTAATTTGCGTTGGAAGTGTAACTAGCCACGTGGTAATGAGCTTATGGATTGAGTTTATGCATTTTGAATTGTATTACTGTTGGTTAGATGCAGTTTAATTCTTTGTTGGTTGCGGTTTTTGGAATTATTTGTTGACATTGGATTGAATTTCAGATTTTTTTACGGAAACTTCATATCAAATTTTCAACAACCAAATTAACATGAATAAATACATGATAAACTTAATATCTATTTGAATTCTAATACTCCTACTTGGAGCACACAAGCAATTGAGAGTTTTAACTCATTTGTATAGAAAATCGATTTGAAAAATTCAATAAAAAAATTTAACCTCAAAACCACCAAATGAGGTTGAAGAAAAGCGTGCAAAAATACACTAAGGTCATAAATGCATATATTATCGCACGAATTCTATGGAACTACAATAAAAATAAACTAAACACCGTAAAAATAATATTTTAAATGTCAAATTGCATAGCCAAAATTTTTGAACTATAGAAAAGTACTAAACAAAGGTCACATAAACATTTTCATATAATTTATATCAATTTTGTCAACATAATGACAGACTATTAAAGAAGAAATGAATTGAGTAAAAAAACTTTTCAATCACTTCAATGAGCTTGATTCTCAAATATTGATTTTTCATATACACACATTTCAATTGAGTGCAGTCATATAAAGAAGAAGTCGCATGCGAAACCGTTTGGAGAGTTATGTTTATATAATGTTCATATTTCAAAATAAATGATAAACATTATAGAGCACACTGTAAAACTTGATGTTCTTTAAACACAACATCAGAGGGAAAAAAATGTATTAAAATATAAAAAAATTCTCCTTGTAAAGTTATTAATGCCTATAAATATAATGTGACGCATTTGAAATTACAATTTTTTTTCTTCTCTTCCTTTCCTCTGCATTTCACTTCAGCTCATACATCTTCATATGACCTTGTAATTTAAGCTGATGCTGCCTCTTAGAGAGAAAAAAAATGCACAAATGTGCCATGAAATATTGTTCTAGCTCATCTTTCCCGTTTGGATATAATGCTTAGGATTTTCTTAGCGAAATATAAATTATTAGGTTCAAGATTAGTCAGACTTAGTATTACATTTTGTTTACTAAAATCTAGGGACAATGTTTATGAAATTGTGATTTCACAAGAATTTGAGTCATCAATAGCTTAGAAAACAGTAAATATTTCAAGAACTTTGCAACTCAACTTAATTTTACTAATTGAATTAAACTTTTGCCATCTTTTTAAGTTAATTAATTGAATTATGAAAGATAATTGAGTCTTTTTAGAAGAAACAAATCAAAAATACTTTTCGAAATGACAAAAATCCGCCATTTTGAATTTTTTAAATATTCTTTTAAAGACAATAAAATTTGCCAACAATCCCAAAATTTCAAAACAATTGTTTAATTTGAGCTCTAAATGTAAATTCTAAGAGTTTCATTCTTTATCTCCTGATTACGCTCCAGTTTAAGCTAATACAATTTCAAAACTTCATAACTCAAACAACAACAACAAATAGTTCTACGAGCTTATGCTCTAATTTCAAGAAAATGAAAAATATGAATCATGAAAATTGATAATATCTCATTAAAATGTGTTTACACCACTGAACGAGAGGAGGTATTATGTATGCATATGATGATGATTATTTTTAATATATGAGCGAGAGAAGAAAAAAATAACAGACAAAAATATGTAAAGATATATAAATGTGTAGACACAGAGTTAGATACAACAACAACAATCGAGTACTAACCGGTTGCAACCCAAAAAACCACAAAAAAAAAAGACTGTCAACGATCCACAATAATATTAATAAAATGAGTGAGTGAGAGAGTTGAAATAGATGGAATATAATAATAAGAAATGACAAATTGTAAAATTATATCATTTTGGCATGTCTTAAATGTATTTCTTCATTTGCAAAAAACAGATTAAAGATTTTTTTTATTTTATTATTTTCATCTCTTGCCATTCTGATATTAAAAGTTCGTTGACACATTCATTATATCCAAATGATATATTATATAACTAGAATCGAATCTCTCCGGGCGTAACGAAAAATGAGAGCTGATAAATTGGTTGTTATAAAAAAAAGGTTATGGCAATATGAGAGCAATGAAGATAACGATTTTCCTGTATTCAAATTACACTCGGAAGGTGTGAAATTCAATAAAAATATGAAGCTTCACACATTGTATGATGAAGTAAATTAAACAAGACTCGTCGATAACTTCAAGTTGAATCATCAAGTGTAGACTTTTTTAAATGCTTGAAGGGGTTCGGTCAATAAATTAACATCACCCCTAAAGACTCAATAATAGTATGCGGTATTGAGGTTCATTAAGGTGCCGCACTGTCTTTTTTTTCATATCAACAATTTCACACCTGCGACAGTGGCATGTTATTACGCCCTCATGCTTGCTTGTGAGACTTTACTAGTTATAGATTAGTTTTATGCTGCTAGAAAACTTTATTATGAACTTATTCTTGCCTAAAATCTTTATGAAAAAAAAATACTTTTTATCTTCTCATTGGATTAGTTGTAACCAACTAAGTTTTGTCATATTGCTGGGGTAGTTTTTCTATTTAATATCTTTGAGTTGTGAGTGAGTTCTTTTAATTAAGTGACACAAGAATAGTGATCTTTCAAATTTATGTCTAATGTTCAAAAAGAAATGGTTCTAAAGCTATGTGACACTTAATTAAAAAAAAAATTAAGAAATTTAGAAAACAAAAAAAAAAATAATAAAATAAATGGAGAAATCTAACATTAATTTTTCAAAATTGTATGAGATTCGAACTCGTAATTCTTTGGTAAATCGTTGAATAGACAATCATTGGGATGAAATTTGAGCTGCAAATTATTAATATATTTTAAAGATTGAAAATATTTTATTTAAGCTTTTAAAAAGATTCTTGTTTTTATTGTGAAAAATTCCTGTTTATTCACTTTGGAACAGGATTGATACTCAAGTATTTTTGGCAAAAAAGAATTATTTGAAAAAGGAAGAGTGGTTTTGAAAATAATGTTATTTTGTATTGTATGAGTTTCAAACTCTCAATCATTTCAGAATATTACTGATTTAACGTAAATCTTATTTTTCACTTGTGGACCATTTTTGCAACTTCTTAAATTAATTACTTCCTTGGCTGGGGACCACGTTAGCTTAATGCCGTGCTTAGATAACTTTTAAAGGCAGTTCTATCCTTCGACACCTTCTGCCAGTTCGAGATATTCAGGACTGTAGCGTCCTTTTCAACACATCTAATCCAAGAGTTCTTCGGTCTTTCTCTTGTTTTATTTCTATTCACAAAGTCTACTTGTGTTGCTTTAAGTACCAGGGTATCCTGTAAGCGTCTAAACACATGACCTGTCCATTCGCACGAAGAACTGTAGCAATAGAGCTCGTCATTATGCTGACATTGATACTCCTCTCCTTCCTTCACAGGCACAGGTTCATAAAATTAATTCATCCAATGTTTATCTAAAATCTATTGACGAAAATCCAGAAGCTTAGCTCGAAGAGCTACAATTTAGAAGGGAAATGATTGTTTTAATATAAATCTCAGTGAGGGTCTTGATTCTCATTTGGACCTCCTTTGACCCTCTTCCTCTTTTGATTAATGATCTCAACGATTAAATTTTAAAAAAATGCCAAAATTGAAAAAAATCTTCAGAACGAAGATGAAAATTCTTCTAACGGACCGAAAATATTCAAACGATAAATGATAAGCAAAAAAATATTGAGTAACAAATAAAGAAAATTATACAAATAAGTCTAACTGATAATTCACAATGACATGAATTTATATCGGCAGCAAATAAAGTAGCAAAATATACTCAATAATCATAAAAAAAAGTCAATTACAAACGTAATCATTTCTTCATTATACAATCAATATGTGAGTTTTTTACAAAATGTGCATTCCACAGATATTTTTCTACCTTGCCTTATCTTATCAGCAAAAAAAGGCAAAAAAAAATGAAACGACAATAAATTTTTGAAGAGCATTAAAGACACATTATTATGCAAAAACTCGTATAAGAACTTACGAAATCGTCTAAAAAATTGATGACGTCAATGCCAGAACGAGACAGCTATAGTTTGCATCAAGCACAATATTTTCCAAGCGGCAACTGCTCGACTCGGTGTATGATGAAAAAAATATTGATTGCATTTTGCTTTCCTGTCTGACTTTTTTTTTCTTTCTTCTATATAGTACACTCTATGGCTCTTTTTCTATCCTCATTTATAATTCATGTGCACGAAGACATTAATAGGAACACATATAATTTATATTTTTTTTATTTGATTAATTATTTTTAAAATAGAAAATGTTAGGACGACAAAACTTTTACGTGTCCTTTTTCACATTTTAAATACATCAGCGATTGGAAATGAGCAAATAAAAAGGTCAAATGTGAGAGAATTTTTTGTTCAGAATTTATAAATAAATGTAGACATCGTCATGAGTCTATATGCTTTTCAATTGTCGATATTAAACCTAGTTTTTAATAAGCAATTTATCCTATCATATGACCTCTTTTCTCCTATTGAAAAAAAAAATGATTGTATTTGTGCGCACGAATACATCAAGCTTTCCGTTCTTGTGAGGAGAAGAGTGAGAGAAAGAGAGAGGATGAAAATAGGGAATGAAAGAAAAGTTTTTTTTCTTTTTCGTGCTTTTCTTTAAAGTTATGGAAATTTTCATTCCCGCACACCTTTTCATCGTTATTCCATTTCTACACACCATTATTATATTTATTTTCTGGCAGTACTTGCTCTTTAGGTACATTCCTATATCTTATTCATCATATATAAAAATTCTTCCCATTAAAATGCTTGATCGAATCATTAATCATCACCGGAAAGTATATTTCTTTAAATTTATTGTTTTAATGGTTTTGAAATGTGCTTTTTTTTTGTTCATTCTTAATATTTTTTTGACGGGTTTTTGCTAAGCAAATGTGGCAGAATGAAGAATTTCAGGATGGCTGTATATATTTTGATATTATGTAACTCATCTAAAATTGAGAATTTTCACAAAACTGAGACTTTAACTCACTCCATACGCAAGAATTCTAAAAAAATCCTTTCTAATTGCGCCTGCCATCCACCATTATTCTCACAACACCCCATTCCAAATTCTCAGAAATGCGCTTCATATGCCCTTACTTCTTACAACTCCCCACATTAACCACATTTTGCTCAAAATTAATTTAGAAAATTTCAAGCGAAAAAAAAATTGTCTTTCCTTCTTTTTATATTTATTTCCCTCTCACTCACTTCATCCGTGAATGAATTACGTGTACATAAAGAATTTTTTCTTTAGTGAACTGCATAAATTGAGAGACGGGAACAAGTTATGATCATGATGATGACTTTATTATTATCTTAAGTAACAAGACTAGTAAATATAAATTGCGAAAAAAAATAATAAGAATATGGATGATGTAGATATGTATTCATTCTTTCTATCTCTATGTGCCTCTTTTTTCACATTATTATCATAAATGTTACAAGTAAAATTAATCGGATGTTTCCAATTTATGAAGGAAGCGTGCACTGGCATCAAGCTTATCATTTAGTCTCGCATTTGTGTAATTTAAATATCTTAGAATCTATGGATCTATTACTATGCTGTAGTTTCACTGACTGAATGATGAAGGAAAGTAGTTTTTAAATGAGGAGCTTGCTTATGTTCAGAGAATGCGACATTTTGTCCTGGACACGTTCTTTTAAAGTTTAAATCTAAAATTGTGTTAAAACCACACTTAACAGCTACCAGGATAGATGGTTTGAATAGCATTTGATCTTTGCCATCTTTTTAAAAAGCTTTCAATTGAAATTTGTTGATATTTGCACTTTAAAAGTCAAAAATATCCAGAAAAACTTTTTGAAGTGAGAAAAACGACGCCAACTTCATGTTCAATAAAAATCTTCAAATTCAAAAATTCCGTTTAAAAAAGCAAGTTCAATAACGTTAGCACAAATGCTGTTTCTACTCATTTTCTTAAAGACAATGCTCTGTTCTGTTTTATTACCAATTAACGACACTTTCAAAACAACAATCAGGAAGTCTAGATGATAGTATGAATTGTTAGGGAAATGAGATCCTAGATAACAGAAAAAATTCAATTAGAACAACAAAAAGACAGCAATAAATCATTCCAACCTTCCTGTTAGCTCTACAAGACACTATTTGGAATATTTCTGATGAAATTTCTCAAGATTCCTTCTACTTTCTTTCGTCATTTTGATGTCACGACAAAACTTATTGAGTAGATAGAAAAGGGTCGTTTGTTTATGATGTTCGGGTTGTTGGGAGGATGGAAAAAGTTTGAAACTCTTGCTTTGTATGAAGACTCAGTGCTTCTGAGTCAAAGTGGTTGAACACATTCTAAATTTTGACTGGAACGTCATTATCAAATGATCCCAATTATAAAGACGATTTCTCGTCTCATCATTAAATCTGTCTATCTCTCTCACTCTCTTGCTGCAACAACATTGAGGCTTATCACGGTCGGTAAATCATTTTATGGCAGTTAAATTAGTTAAACTTATGATGAATTATCGCAACATTCATCCGAATGGAAAAAATATAAAATGGAACAAATTTGCATTTAAATTTTCTTTCCTTGAGATCCATTACAGATCGTATTTGAGTCATTCAGGCTTTAATTCTGTATAAATGACATCGAAAAGACAGAGAAGATGTTTTTTTGTTTCGTCTTACGTAATTGGTTTTAAAGATTATTTTGTATGTGTCCGGGATGAAATTAGGGCAACATACTCTATGACACAATTATAGACAAGCATTCAACAACTGCACATTATTGTTGATTTTTCAATACATTAATTAATATTACTTAACTTATTAATTAAAATATCCGATTAATTTCCATTATTTTAATGACAACAAAACTGAATAATTTCACAAAACCATGCAATTATAAAGCTGTAAAATTTGCAATAATTTTAATAGTTTTACACGACTCGACTCCTACTACTCAGTACAATATAGAATGTTATGTAATCGAGAAAATTTTCATTTAGATTATAAAAAAAATATTCTGTTCGTTAAGGTGAGGCTTCATTGAAAACAGGTGGATGTGCTTTTACTGAATGAAATTTGTTGCTGTATTCTATGATATTCTAAGTGCAATGAATGATTCGCTGTAATTGACAAAGTTGAATGTTCTAGAAAATCATGGAATAATTCTTAGATTTTGCGATTTTTGAGTCGATTTTTAGGCTCAAGGTGCCCTAACCAAAACTAAGGTCATTTAGGTTTTAAATTAAGCAATGAGGCTTGTCCCTACATGGACATTGTCTTAGATGCCAAATCTTGATCTACATATTATGAACAAACTCAAATGCAATGAGACTTGAACCTGTGAGCATAATCAAGAGTTGAGTTATTCTTAGTTGCTACCACAAAGCTCACTGTAGCTTTTGCTCTATTTTAGCTGCTTATCCAATACACATAAAAGTGTCTTTACCCAATCTCATTCCTCAACTCTTTAAACAATATTTAAAGAAACATTCCAATTACCTTTAGTTCCACAACAACCACCATATCAGCAAATTAAGTCCATTTAAACCACAGCCATAAATCCTAACATCCTACATTCAATGTAAGCATGATTCCTCCCATTAATTCACGACAATAATTCTGCTTAATTTTGATTGACCAACCTTGTGCGCTTGATGCTGATTCAAATTACATTTATGTCAGTCAGAGACAAGTTAAAGAAAAGAAGGCACAACAAAATGAGCATAAAACAATTCCATACAATCTCAAAATGCCTTTTTTTTTCTCATTTTCACAGCATCCAATTTTATCATAATCATGAAATAGAGCCTTCAATGTCATTTCAATTAAGAAAAATTTAACGATTTTGTTATCGCAATTGAAAGGAACTTAATTTTATAATTTTTCGTACTTTCATCGTAAAGGATTTTAAAGCAGTTAGTTGCAGAGTTATAAAGTCATACACGTGATTGATTGATAAGTTGCTACATTTTTGCTGATCACGAATTGTGTGGCCACTGAATGACGATTAAGTATATGTGAAAAAATTTTCTTGAATGAACATGTGATCTGTTGATAAATTGTCAATAATATAATATAATCATTTTTATCACTTGAAATAGGAATTAGTGATATAATCTTAAATGATTATTATACTTCGATACTTTATCAATTCAGTTCCAGATCGCTAACGACGTGTATTACAATTATCACATTCAACTTCAATGTGATGTAATGATGAAGATAAAATAGTTTACAAATTCAATTAGCAACCTTGTTCCAGTTTGATGTACTTATTATCACAATTATTAGCGCCAATTCTATATCAGATGAAGAGCTCGTTTTTCTGTCTTCACATTCTTCTTCTTCATATCGCATTTCTTGAATTTTATTGATTTCTTTTAACTTGCTAGTAATAATGGAATTAACATTAATTTTGATCGAATGAGAATTGATTATATTACTGTTATGTATAGCTTAGAGTTGGGTGGATTAGGTGCATTTTTTGGAAGATTTGTTTAATTTTGGGTTATTTAATATTAAATTCTGTAAAAATGATTCAAAAGTTTTAGTTTTGATTAATTTTAATAAACTGAATTCGGATAAAATATTTGGTTCGAATCCTAGAGTTGAAAAATTGCAGTTGAGCTGCAACTTGTAAACCTAGAACTCTTCAAGTCCCCCAAACACATTCCAGTCACCCCCCATCACTCTCATCAACCAAACTTAGTCTCCCGTCCATAAAATTTCATCAACCTCACATAACGACACGAAATGTGTGAAGGAGGTGGATATTTTCTCACATTTAAATGTGAAAATCATAATAATCGTTGATTGTTACTTAAATATGACATTGGACTAAAATGAGTCTCTAACTGATATTATAAAAAATAAAATAAAGTTTATGTTTTGTAAGAAAAGAAATTGTATATGAGCGAAAATCATTCTCGTATTCTTTTTTAACGCACTACAATTGGCCTTTTCCGGCAAATGTCATAACCTCCTACATTTGAAAAAAAAAGAGTATTATAGAATTGATATAGTCTTTTTAGAAAAAAAAGTTTTTATTCATTTATCTGATGTGTACATAACATTAATGATAGCTAGCAATTGAGGGCTTCATCGAGAAGTTTCGGTTTTGTAGAAAATAGAAAGAAAAAAATTCAATTATTTTTCTTTTATACTGTGGCATTTGACTTGAGCATTGCATAATCAATACGAATTGTGGTGGAATGAAAGTTGGCTTCAAAGGAAATGTCAAGCTTCTTGATCCTATTCAAAACGAATTATT